AAAAACCAAAAAAAAAAAAAAAAAAAAAGAAAGAATTCATATGGACCAGAAAAGCACTACAATATGAAGAGGAATCCACACAGACCCTCCATCCAGATTTCCCAAATGTCAGCAAGTGCTTTCCTGTCTCCCCTCCTCACCACCTTCACAGCTACAACCCTTGCGGGCAGTGCATGGCCCCCTTCGCACCCATATTCCAGAGGGAGGCTTCAACAGCGGCCTAGCAGGGCCTGGGACACCCACCTACCTGATGTGCATACCTCCACTCTGCTCCCCAGCCAGGTGGGCTATAGGGACAGAAGAGGTGTGAGCCTGCATAACAGAGCATGTCATGGGTTGGGATGTCCCCCAAAGCCTCATGCAGGCATGGGGCGGGTTTCTAGCATTTGTGATTGACCCATGGTCCAGTGTTAGAATTATGGGTGTGAGTGCTACACCAGCCCTGGGGTGGGCAGCCTGCATACAATGTAAGAGTGGGAAAGAGGATTGCTCTCTGCCACTCCTCCCTTTTGCTCTTGCTTTTGCTGTCTTCCGCTGCCATTAACTGTTGCCCTCTGCCATGTGCCACTCTGCCTTGGAGCCAGCTGAGTATGGACTGAAATCTTCACCAACTGTGAGCTAAATAAATCTTTCCTTCCTTAATTCGGGCCGTAAGGTGCTCTGTCTCAGCAACGAGAGAAAAGTAATAAAGACAGAGCACAAAGAGGCACCTCCAGGTCTGCAGCTCAAGGCGAGGGCCCAAGGGGAGGGATGGCTGAACAAACCCTTGGTCCTAATCCCCGTCTTACACCTGCATTCCTGGAGTCCTCAGCTGAGCACCCATTTAACACCACGGTTTTGGCATGGCTTCCCTCCGGATTCAAGGATTAAAGAACAGAGACGGCCAAGAGCAGAAACAAGCATCCGCACAGCCAGATGGCTCGAGAGCTTTTATTTATTTAATGGCTCAAGATCTACCTTGCAGTGCATCCTGCCTAGCTCTCCCTCAGGGCAGACACAAGCATCCCACTCTGGGTGCGAGGAGCAGGTGAGCGCCCCCTCCTGCCTGTCTGCGGCTACTTCACACACCCGGATGCTCCTGTGGGGAGGGGCCTTCAAGGGGACCAGAACTGTACTCAGCTGGTCGCTGGCCCACATGCTGAACTCTTTACAGACCAGCACTTCCTCCAGTTGACACTGCTGATTGTGAAGCCAATCATTTGGTTAGAAGGGAGGAAAGTCACACTAAGTGATCCTTCCCCTGTAAGATTTATCCCTGTCACAAAAACTTTTTAAATGAAATAAAAATTTCTCAGGCAAATCTATACAAGGCTCTATTTAATATTCATATCAACCTTTGTGACAGGTATTATCCCCATTTTTAAAACAAGGAAGGCAGGTGTAGTGATGCTTTGCCTGTGATCCCAGTGTTCTGGGAGGCTGAGGCATGAGGATTTCAAGTGTGAACACAGCCTGGCGACTTAGTGAGATCCTGTCTCTAAAAATAAAAATAAAAATAAAAATAAATAAAAGGCTGGAGACATAGCTCAGTTGGAAGGCCCTGGGTTCAATCCCCAGTACCGCCAAAAAATAAAAACAAAACTGAAAAAACACACACACACACACACACACACACACACACACACGGAGGAGACCAGCACTGCCATACCCACGGTCACACAAAAGCTCTGCC